TAAAATTAAATTGTACCTGAAAATGATATTACTTTATGTTTCTGTCATTAATTAATATAACTCTGTTATTAGATTAACCTAAGGGGGAACAGGACATTGGGTTGGGAAGTAGAGAGGCAGCAGAAAGAAAAGTTAAAAATTCTGTGGAATTGCCAGAGCATTTGAGTCCTGTCTTGGGCTTCAACATCACAGTGATAGGCATTGTGACAGGAATAATGATTCCCCAGACTGTGATCCCCACCTAACCCCAAACTATGAGCAACAGCAATCCGAACCTGGATCTAAAAGTCTTCTGAGAGTTATGACAAAAAGAATCTTGATTTTTCAATATACTATTTTTCAGCCCTTTACATTATTTTGGGCAATTCTGAGGCTACTGTTGACATATGCAAAGTTAAAACTTTCATTGGCCTTACTCATATCTTCTGTGACTCACTCAACCTGACAGGGAAATTTGTAACTATGGCTGAGACCAACAAATAAGCAAGCAAGCAAACAAACAACACCTCTTTCTTACTGCCCTTGTCAATATGAAAATAGTTGAGGATCAGGATCCTGAACTTAAGTTCTGGGCCTACATATGATAAAGTTCTACTACTTGTCAGTTGCAAGATAGAGAAGAAAATTTATTTTGAAATCCACCCTAAAACACAGGATGACTTGCATGGCATTTGTGATTTTGATGAGAACTAAAATGCAGTCCAAGTTTCCCTGAAAAACAGTAAAAAGTGTAATATAGACTTAATCCATATTTAAGCCTCTCTATTTGACCTCCCACATTTATTCCCTCTTCTGGATCCAGTAGATTGTTGGAGCCAGACCAAGGGCTTGGAGATCATCTGCTGTCATCCAGGTTTTTTACTCTATAAGTGGGAAAATGATGTCTAGACTGGTGACCTACCCAAGGGCCCTCAGGTGGTTAGGGGCAGATCTGAGACTACAAGCTGGATCTCTAGACTTCCAGGCCAGAGCTCTTCTTGCCACACCCTGCTTTGGTGAGACTGATGGAAAGCAGGTTGTTTTTGTGGAAGCTACATACATTTTGGCTTAAGGTCTCTTGCTGAGGTCATTTAGATGTTAGAGATGATTGGAGTCCTGACCCCTAGGGCCAGGAACCACAACTATATTACCAGAGTATTACTATCTTGAAAAGTCTTGGAAGTAGACAACTGTTTGGGAGGTTGCAGGAAGTCAGGGGACTGGTCACAGGGTGTCATTTGTATAGCAAGAACATTTTTTTTAAAAGATGTATTTGTTGATTTTTGAGAGAGAGAGAGATAGAGAGAAATAAGGAAGGGCAGAGGGAGAGGGAGAAAGAATCTCAAGCAGACCCCACTAAGTGCGGGGACTGAGGGTGGAGGCTGATATGGTGCTTGATCCCACGACCCCGAGATCTTGACCTGAGCTGAAACCAATAGTCAGATGCTTAACCAGCTCCACCCAGGTGCCCCAAAGACATTCTAAAAAAAGATTTTATTTATTCATTTAGAGAGACAGAGAAGTGTACCTGGGTGGCTCAGTTGGTTAAGCATTTGCCTTTGGCTCAGGTCATGATCCCAGGGCCCTGGGACGGAATCTACATCAGGCTCCCTGCTCAGGGGGGAATCTGCTTATACTATTGCCCCTCCCCACTGCTCATGCTCTCTGTCTCTCAAATAAATAAAATCTTAAAATAATAATTATTATAATTTTTTTGTTTTTTTAATTAACATATAATATATTATTTGTTTCAGGGGTACAGGTCTGTGATTCATCAGTCTTACACAATTCACAGTGCTCACCATAGCACATACCCTCCCCAATGTCCATCACCCAGCCAATAATAATAATAATTTTTAAAAAATAGAGAGAGAGATTGAAAGTGAGAGGGAGAGCATGAGCAAGGGGGTGGCTGAGGGAGAGGGAGAGAGAGAATGCCAAGGAGACTCCATGCCAAGTGAAGAGTCTGATGCCAGGCTTGATCCAATGACCCTGAGATCATGACCAGAGCCAAAATCAAGAGTCGGATGCTTAACAGACTGAGCTACCCAGGTGCCCTGACAAAAGATGTTTTTTGCATATAGATCATATTATTACTTTGGGAAAACAGGGGGGCTGAGGGAGATTATAGCAGATGACTGGTCCCTTCAAGCTCCTCCTGGCACCATCAGTACAACTCACATGCATAGTCAATGTTAGCACCCTTGGGAAGAGATGGGGAATCATTCATTCAGTAAGTTACTTTTCAATGTCAACATTTTCCTCAGACCCTTACATGATAGCATCCATACTTAACCATCCATTGGGTTCTAGATTATTAATTAAAAGTTAGGCTTTAGAGTGCAACAAACCTGGGTGCAGACCTAGCCCATGCCTCTTACTACTGTTCTGCCAGGCCTACTATAGAAACTCAATGTATGTTATTGGTGAAGATATAAAGTGACAAAAAGCTACTGTGGATTTAGTTGACTCATATTTGTATTTAAAAATTACAACAGCATCGGAGTGCCTGAGTGGTTCACTTGGTGAAGCATTTGACTCTTGATTTCAGCTCAGGTCATGATCTCAGGTTCATGAGATTGAGTCCCGCATTGGGACTCTGCTAGGCATGGAGCCTACTTAAGATTTTCTCTCTCTTCCTCTGCCTTCCTCACCCTTCTCTCTCTCTCCCTCTAAAAAAAAAAAAAAAAAAAAATGACAACAGCATCTACAAACAAATGATGGCTAAATATCTACAACTGGAATGATTTATTCAGACCACAGACGATGCTTTGTGTGCAAACTGATTGATTTGAACCTGCTGTAATAATTACTCTGCAGGGTCATTGGTCCATAGCACTAGTACCTTGGACATAATGGAAGAGTATGGATTTTGGAATCTTATAGACCTGGGCTCAAATCCCAGCTTTGCCAAGTCCTGACTGTGCCATCTTTGACAACTTGCTTAACTTTTCTGAGTCTCCGTTTCCCCATCTCTAAAATAGGGATAATACCTACTTTACAGAGCTGTTGGAGGATTGGATGATATAATGTACATAGGAACCTGGGGTATGATGGATGTCAAATAAATGTTTGTTTGTATTCTCACAATTTGAACAAAGCTTAATAATCCACATCCGTTTGAAAGCATTTATTTAAATTGCAGAGGGCCTGGACATGAAGAACTTCATATCTAGAAGGACTTGTAGCCCGACTATATGAAAACAGGGAGAAGAATAAAATAGGTTTCACATTTAATAGTACTTTCAATGTTTTGTTTTTACTTTTGTTCTCTAGGAGCATCTAGAGACAGCTTCAGCCTCTACCTAGAATCTTTTACATAACTTTTCATTCATCCTCTACTCTTTCATCTTCCTTTCTTCTTTCTCCCACCTTGTCCTGCACTGGTGTGGTGGAGGGGTGGCATGAGCACAACATCAGTACAATGTTCCACTGTCACTGGTGATGGCTCATGTGTTCCTGAGGGCCATGTTGGAAAGGTTGGATCCATGCAAAACCCCTTATTAAAGAGTGGCCCTGACTGCAAGCATTGATGGTGCTGGTAGAGCCAGCCCCAGCCATGAATCATTTTCATGATAGTCAAGGCAGGAATTATCGTTGGTTCAGAATATCCCCACCCATATTCCCTGGAATGGAAAGCTGGAGGCCACTTAAAGGGAAGTCTCTTCTACAAACAGGCAGGGCAGAAGTGAATGCAATGAGGTAGTGCAGAGATCAGCTTCAGGAGGGCATGATCTCCTAGAAGTTGTGGTTTATTCATTGCCAGGGAGCCTGGCAAGTTGTTTGACTCAGGGCCTTCATCTTCACATCTCCTGCTCAGTCTCTCTCACACCTGTGTTCACCTTGTGGATTTATGGAAGGATTGTGTACAGTGTCTTAGAAATTTCTCACACTTGTGGAAGGACTTGTGTCAGACTTCCTCCCCTTTGGAAAATGTGCTTTGCCTATTTCAAGAATGTCCCTTCCATTTCCTATTCCCAGGGCTGCACAATATGCTTTATCTCTTCTTTTGGACATAAATGTGAAGAAAGATACTCCGCCCTTGAAAAAATTTTCATCCTTGGCCAAATCATTTTTTCCCATTTCCTCAGATAGTTTGGGAAACTGGCACTCATGTTGCTACTCTCTGGCTTTGTACTGATCTCCCAGATCAGGTAGCCACTCTTGGCTGTTTGTCAGAGTAGAGTTGGAGCAAGGAGCTATGTGACATATTGGTATGCAGATCATGTGACAATGGAATGAGGAACAAAGAGCAGGAGGCTCAGCCTTCAGGCAAACGACCAATATAGGAATGAGAGCTGCTAGTATTTCCTGTTTATTTATCTTTTTAATGCTAATTATCTGTTTCTTGTTCTCAAATTTAGAAGTTGTTGACTTAGCTCAATTTTAGAGCCCCAGAAACTATCCTCCAAATATATGCCTCCGATATAACTTGGGGGTTCATTAGATTAATTAATTAATAGTGGTTAATAAATGCTTTGAAATCTTTTTATTAAAAGGGCCACCTAAGTACAAAGTGTTATTATAATCAGGTCTAATGAGGTCAGTGATTTAAAGAGAGGGTTTTGAACCATATATAAAGCTCCTCCAACGATCAGTGGTACAAGATGCAGGTAAGAAGAGGCAGGTGAATCTATAGGCTGCTGTTTAGAACCTCCCCCACAGGGTAGCTCAGTCAGTTAAGCGTCTGCCTTCAGCTCAGGTCATGATCCCAGGGTCCTGGGATCAAGTCCTGCATCAGGCTCCCTGCTCCATGGGAGCCTGCTTCTCCCTCTGCTTCTCTCTCTCTCTCTCTCTCTCTCTCTCCCTCTGTCTCTCATGAATAAATAAATAAAATATTAAAAAAAAAAAAGAATTTTAGAACCTCCCCCACAGCAGCAGAGCCACACTGAAGTTTGCTTGGATTGAAGCCAGGTAATCATAGATCTACCAACTAATGGATTCTCAAATTGTTTAACTTGTCTTTTAGGACAAAGGCCACTGCTTTGTTAAAGGCTGGCGTGCAGGGTAGTGCTGAAGACGGGGGACTTTCCTAAACCGAGAGGAGAGATTGGCTCTGCAAGTTCACAAACCAGGTTCGTGCTCACCTTCTTGTATCTTGTAGAACACTTAAGCTGTCTTTTGAATGAAACCAAAAATAGAATGTAGGGAGCACAGCAAACCTCTTCTGAGTCATGATCTCTAATGCTCCTCTCAGTGGCTTCTTTTGGTTTTCTAAGGAGACTACAGTCAAAGAATGGGAACAAAATTATGATACGAGCAAACTTGGAGACAGGATGGGAGTGTGTATGTTGGCCTAACATATTTAAGATATTTATAGGCTCATGTCAATATGAAATTGGATTAAAATGAGTTGGGAGATTATACTTAGGAAAGAGTGATCCAATGAACCATAGTACTGAGCCTATGAGAATAATATCTTGGAACTGGCAAAAAAGTATACTGGAAATTATTCTAAACTTTCTTTTAATTAAAACAAATTTCCTTCAGGAAACTTTCAAGTTTTAAAATTAACCAGTTTCTCTTTCAAATCATAATAGGTGCTGTAGGATAAGATTCACAACCATGCTATCCTCTATCCTGTTTTGGGGACTTATTGCCCTCATTGGTAAGTCATCGACTGACATTTAGCATCTTCTGCAGGGTGTCCACAAAAACATGTAGCATAGTCATGAATCAGAAAAAGCAATGATTACATGTAATGGAGGGGTGGGTTCTCCTTCTAATCAGCCTGGCCATCAATCAACTGCTTACATCTATAATTAACAGTGTATTCTGCTTGCCAAGCAGGTGAAGGCACTGTCAGTGGGAATTTATGGAACAGTGCCTTGGGAGGCAAGACATATGAAGATAAAATTATTAATACCAGGCAGTAAATAAGAGTTAAATGAATATAGACAGAAAAAGACATTAGTCTGGGAAGAGTTCAGGATAAGGAGTTCACATCTAGTCAGGATGTTGAGACCAGAAAGGCTTTCTGGGAGGATGTTATACTTGAAGAATGTTTGGTGTTATTTGATAGGAGAGGAAAAGAGTCTGCTGGATGGGTAGAATGCCTTTAGAGGCAGAAATGCATGAAAAGTGTTGGGAGTACAGTAAACAGATCAGTGAGACCAGAACAGAAGTGAGGATTTCTGAGGGGAAGGATAGAAAGGTAGGCTGGTGAGATGGTTAGGGACTTTGAATAAGAAAAGATTGAAAATTTGGCTTAGGAAAAATGAAAAGCAACTGTAAACAATGTTCAAGTTGCCTTTATGAATAGGGTGAAGATTGAGAAGAAAGTATTTCTGAAATGTTTAATTCTAAATTTGAAAAAGTGAAGCTACAGGAAAGTGATAATTTCCAATTATTTATGTGGTCAAAGGCAGGGGAACATAGTTTTAAATTTTTATTCCTTCTTTAATTTCCAGGTGGGAGCAGAGTTATATAGCCAGTGGACTAATTATGAGCTACCCTACTAGCTATGTTTAATTGAGAGGTGACTATAATTAAGAAGGGCCTGTGTGTTTATGATGTCAACACAAGTAAAGTCCATGGTCATATTCTAATCCCCTTAAAGCAAACTTAGGTATGCATGAGTCTGCTGGAAGTCTTGGTTAAAGTGCAGGTTCTCTGACCTTATACCTAAAGACTCTGATTCAACAGACCTAGTATGAGGAGCCCAGAAATAGGTATATTTAATAGGCATCCAGATCACTTTGATACCTGTGAGCATAGCAAAGGTTGGCTCTCCAGTAAAAAGAAATTGAAACTTTTGACATATGGACACTTGATCCAGATAACTTAGATTATTCCTTTACTTATCATCCATCCATCCATCCATCCAACCATCCATCCATTATCCATTCACGAATATTTATTGAATGTCCACTTTGTGCCAGGCATTGTTCTAAGTGCTGAGGAGGAGATAGCAAAGGGAAAAAAAATGTTCTAGTGAGAGGAATAGAAAAAAAGAGAGGAAGAAATAAAAGGAAGGAAGGAAGACATGTCAGGTGGTGATAGGTGATATAAATAAAATATAAGGTAATGGGTGATAAGGAATGAGGCATGAGTGTGTTGCTGTTTTAATGTAAGTAGAAAAAAAGACTCTTTAATAAGTTAATTAAAAATTGTTGTAGAATGTTTCAAACACATAAAATGGGGGAGGGAATAGGGTAATTAACTCCTGTGTACCGTTATCAAGCATCTATGGTTTTCAACACTTTGCTATTCTTATTTTATCTATCTCTCATGTCTGCATTTTTTGGGAGGAGGGGAGGTTAGAATATTGTAAAGCAACCCAAAAGATCAAAACATTTTACCTATAAACGTTTTAGAATGTGTCTAAAATGTATAAGGGCCAGCTCTGGCACAAGAAGATGTTCCTGGCTTACCTTAAACATTTCTTGCCCCAGACCAGGAATGAGACCTTTTTCTGAGGAGCACTGGTTCCTCTGAGTAATAGTATTTAGAGACCACAATATGAGTATCAGGGGCACTCCATTGCTATGGGGTGTTATTCCTTCCAGGTCTTTTCAGTGGAGAGAACTTAGAAAGTATATATTGTTAAAAAAAAAAAAAGAAAAATACTTATGCATTCATACTGATATTTCACATTATTTTTGAATACAAAGGATTTCTAAAAATCCTGACTCTTAACATTAACATGATACTCATTTATATATAATAGTTTCAAAATAACTATGGCACTATTACCAACCAACAGTGATCCTGTGCAAATAGTTTAAGATTTTCTTATGATTCTTTATGTTCATAGGATGTATTCCACTAGTGGTATATGCTTACATTGACTTGTTTTTAAGTAACTAGAAATAATTCTCTTCTATGTATTAATTAAGTTTTCAATTTGATATAAAGTTAATTTGTCTTTCACTTTTTAGGATTTTTTTAAATTATAAAAACATGTACATGGCTCCAAAATAAAAACTATAAAAAAGGTACATTTAGAGAAGTCTAGCCTCTATCCCTGTCACCTCTTCTTACCTTGCCCCATAACTAACAATTTTTATTAGTTTTTGGTTCATCCTTGTATTGTTTCTTTTGAATATATAAAGAAATCTCTCACACACACAAACACACACAATCATATTTTCTCCCTTTTTCAAACAAAGAATACAATTCCATAACTACTATTCTGTACCTGGAGATAATGTTATAGAATCATATAGAGTTCCTCCTTTTTGCAGCTGCATAGTAATCTGTTGTGTGGAAGTGGCTTAGCTTGCTCAGTCCCTGTGTGAATGACACTTGCATTGTTCTCAGATCTTTGCTGAAACAACAGCCTATTGCAAAATCTCCTTCCACAGCAATGTATAAGACTGCCTATGGCCCCACAGTCTCACTGTCAGAATACGTTGTCAAACTTTTGGATTCTTGCCAATTAAATAGGTAGAAAGTAGCGTCTCAGTGATGTTTTAATATGGCATTCTCTTTTGAATGTGGTTGAGCACCTTTTTATACATTTAAGGATTTTTTCTTTTTTTTGTTTATGAACTGTTTATTCATATCTTTTGCTGATAGGGTGGTGTTTGAACAGAGTTCTGAAGGCAGTGAGGCAGCAAATCATGTAGATACCTGGAGAAATAGCATTCTGTGCAAAAGGATCTGTAAATATAAAAGCCTTGAGCTAGGAACCTGCCTGAGATGTTGAAGGATAAGCAAGGAGAAGAATGTGACTGGAGAAGAGTGAGGACAGAGAAGAAGTCAGAAAGTGAGCAGAGGCCAAATCAGGTAGGGCTTGAAGGCCACAACAATGATTGGAAAGCCACTGGAAGGTTGATCCCATGATCCCATGCATGTTTCCACAAACCAATCTGGCTGCTGGGGGATAGATTGCAAGGGTGGAGGAAGGAGGTCAGCTAGGAGGCTGTTACAATAATCAAGATGAGCAATGGTGGTAGTTTGGACCCTGGTGGTAGCAGAGGTGGTGAAAAGTGGTCAGATTCTGGGTATATGTTGTCAGTCTGCACCCTCACTCCCAGCTTCTATGCTTCTATCTTACATATGATCTGTGTCCTGGAAATCCATCCATTCACTCATGTGTATTTCCTACACATATTGTAGGCACAAGATTCTATGCTGAGGGCCATGGAGAGTGCCAATGCCATGCTCTTTGCATCACATGGAAATCCATACTGCTTAGGGAAGCTTAATGGCTTTGCTGGTTTCTACTGGTTTTGTTATCTAAATAGGCTTTCTAAGTATTATGAATTTACTTGATAGTTTCATTGTCTGACTTTCTGATGCATTTACAATACCTTTTTTTTCTTTTGCGTGTTTGTAGTTGGGAAAGAGTAGATTGTGCCTGTATTTTTATTTGTTTTGATGAGTTTTGCTTTTTAAAAAAGTTAGTCTTTAGAGTTGCTTTGTTTTCCTTTTAAAATATATATTTATGAGGAATAGTTCCATTGCTTATGTGCCTAATTCTAAGAGAGTCTCTTTATACTATCAAGTTCATCAGAACTAGACCTATAGTGAATGGGGAAAATCCATCTCTCTATTAAAAAATACCATTTACAACACTAAGTGAAACAACATAGTTTTTAACATCAAGTGTTTTAACAAATATAATTTCTTATGACAAGTATTTGTAGTCTTAAGATATAAGTCAACAGTCCTAGGAACTATTAGAGCAAACTTTTCAACTTACACCAAAACTCTTTATCTCCTTTAGTAATAGACTTGGACAGTAAGTCACTTCATAATGACAAAATAAAAAATAAGAATAGGATTTAACTTAAGTTTTTATGGTAAGTTGAATTTTATTTCCAATTTTACTAATTATACTTAGAAATTCAACCTCACAGAAACATGATATAAAATGGATATTTTAAGTTAATGGTACCCTTCTTTTTTATCTTAAGTGGTATTGGTACCCTTCTTTCTTATTTTCTTTCTTTTTTTTTTTTTAAAGATGTTATTTATTTATTTGACAGAGAGAGTGGAAGAGCACAAGCAGGGGGAGAAGCAGAAGGAGAGGAAGAAGGAGGCCCCTTTCCGAGCAGGGAGCCTGATGCGGAACTCGATCCCAGGACCCTGGGATCATGACCTGAGCTGAAGGCAGATGCTTAACCATCTGAGCCACCCAGGCGCCCTTTCTTTCTTATTTTCTTAAACGAAGGCAATTTGTTAATCCAGATGTTTACATCCCCAGAAGTATTTGTGTCAGAAGTGTCTTAAAATTTCTCTCAAAGTTCCTGCTTAAAACTCTATTGGCAATTTTAATTCTGATCAAGATTGCAAGAAGTGTTTTTGAGACCTATAAAAATTGATTTTCATAATACTTTGTACAATGTTTAGAATTAAGTACTTCATTAAAAAATTCTCGGGGGCACCTGGCTGGCTCAGTCAGGAGAGCATGTGACTCTTGATCTCCAGGTCATGAGTTTAAGTCCCACATTGGGTGTGGAGACTACTTAAAAAAGTTTTTTTTTAAGGTTGGAGTAAAATGGGACGGGGGAATCTTCTGTTCCGTTTTGTCTGATGAGCTATCCAAAGGGTCTTAGGAGGGAATTGGGAAAGAGTAAGTCTATGGCTTCACCTTTGGTTTAGTAATGCTCATTATAGCAACTCGAGCAATATATCTCGCAGGCTTCAGGAGAATTGTAATTCTCTCCCCCAGGCACTTCTAGGGGCTCGTACCCTTTCACTCACTCAATGAACCCTCACCTGCATCCCCGCCTGTACCATGGCTGCTACGGTGACATCATGACCATGGAGACCTCTGGTGCCGCCTGTGATATAACCAGGTTGATGAACTGCGGTAAGTGAAAAGCAAAGCAAACATTTGGCTTTCCCCCTTTCATCATTTTCATATTATTTTTTAGGAAGCAGCTTAATTTTGAAAAGGTATAATTGCTGTTATAGCAATAAGATCAAAGTTAAAAATTAGAAGAAAAGCAGAATCCTGACCAGCTTAACAAATGACTTCTTTTAATTTCCCCCTATTCTTTCCAAACTTTATCCAAATGTGTTTATTTCTACATAATTAAATGATGGTTTACGTAAAATATTAAATTCTGCCTTTGTTTTTTGTTTGTTGTTGTATTTACTTCATGTTACAGCATGAGCATTTTAAGCGAGCCTCTTGCTCTTTGTACATTCTCTCTTTTGTAATCCTGTTCCAAAGTCTTCTTCATGTTATCCCAGCATTAGAATGTCAGCGCTGGAAGCAACTACAAGGTCAATCTAATCCTACCTCCCCAATTTATAGATCTGAAAACTGAGGCTCAGCAAGAAGAGACTTCTCATGGGCCTGGAGCTAGGTAGTAGCAGAACCAGACTCAAATTTAGGTTGGCTGACTTCTAGTCCAAGAGTCTTCCCAAGGCACCAATGTGGCAGGTAACAGAAGAACAAGAAAGAGAGTAGAAGTGGTACTGCCTGGGGTTGTGGACCTTTCTGGGTTTATGCAATTAGAGATTAAAAACAATGTCCTAGAATAGTTGTCCCAAGCTTTGGGCTGTGGTTGGGGGCTATGACTGACTTATTAAACTTTGGAAAAGGGTTCTCTTCTGGAGTAAACAGTTTTGTTTTCTATTGACTTAGGGATCCGTGGTTCTGAAATGTTTGCTGAGATGGATTTGAGGGCCTTAAAAACTTACCAGACCCTGATCAAAGAAGTTGGGCTGAGGTATTGTGTGGACCCTGCTCTCATCGCAGCTATCATCTCGAGAGAAAGCCATGGTGGAGCTGTCCTGCAAGATGGCTGGGACCACAGGGGACTTAAATTTGGCTTGATGCAGGTACTTGGCAAGAAACTTTCAGTCAGCCCCACTTCATCCTTCCTTATGGAAGCTCAACCCAAACTAGATGTCCATTGGTAGTATTTCCAGGCTTCAGAACACTGTGGAATTTCAGCATAATTTGTACTTCTGTATTTCTGTAACACATCTCTGGTATTTCTTTCCAGATTTATCAGTTTTTGGGTATCTTCAGAAAAAGTATTTTATGAGTTTTATAACTACAATTTGCAATTAATAATATGCAATGCACTTAAATTGAGAAAATCTTATAAAGGGCACTATTAGAAGTGTCCATTTGGGGCCCATAAAGTAGTGAATTTTATCCATGTAGATCAAAACACTATAATTAAGCTCTACTTGAACCAAATGGTTCTTTAGGCAAATTGGAGGAAGGGGATCCAAATTATCTGAATGTTTGTATCCAGTCATTATTTTAAATTGTCTGTAGAGACCCAAGCTTCAGACTGTCCCAATTAGAAACAATTTTTATTTTTGACTGCAAATGTCTAGCCATTGAATGCTAATTATTTGTTTTGAAACAACTTTTTCATAAATTTATTTACATTTGAGAGTTTAACAAAAACTATGCCACTTCCACATCTCCCAAATCATACTTTGTTTCTCTGACTCTCTTTTTTCTTCTTTTTTTTTTTTAAGATTTTATTTATTTATTTACAGAGAGAGACACAGCGAGAGAGGGAACACAAGCAGGGGGAGTGAGAGAGGGAGAAGCAGGCTTCCCGAGGAGCAGGGAGCCCGATGTGGGGCTCGATCCCAAGACCCTGGGATCATGACCTGAGCTGAAGGCAGACGCTTAAGGACTGAGCCACCTAGGCGCCCCTCTGACTCTCTTTTCTGTGAGAGAAAGTAGAATTAATTCTGTGAAGATAAAGTAAGGGGGCCAAGACCAGTGGCTGTACACTTGAGCACAAGGAAGAGAAATTGGGAAGAATAGAAAAATGTGTTGCTTCATCCAGATGCTGACATTATTATCTGATTTTTGTAGCTTAATAAAAAAATTCATCACCCTGTTGGTAACTGGGACAGCAAAGAACACCTTTTGCAGGCTGTTGGGATTCTAACAGACAAAATGAAGGCAATCCAGAAAAAATTCCCCACGTGGAGTGTGGCTCAACACCTCAAAGGTAGGCCATGTTTGTGGAGCTTTGTTTAAAAGATCAGCGAGTGAGACCCCTGAAGGCCAGATGTGCCCCGGGCCTCCCTGGGAGTGTTCCCATGGGGTCAGCAATGGGTCTGGAAGGAGCTGCCAAAAGGATGCACTAGGACTCTCTGAACCACTGAGTTACTTTGAGTGGTCTTGCTCCCCAACTTCCATTTCCCCTTCTGCCAAATGTTGGTGTTCTTATTATATCTCTCATTAGTTACTGAGCCACTGAGTGATGCCTTGAGAATTAATGCAAGAGTTTAAAAGAATGTTTGCCTTCCTCTGGTAGAATTTTCCCGATGCAAGAAACTTAATGACTTTCTTTGTTTGAACAAATGTTTACTCTGAACATTCTCAGCAACATCTGGGCTTTAGGTACCATATCCAAGTGGAGATCTCTGGTTGGCTGATCACAGACCTCCTCAAGTTCAGCATCTTCCAGACTGAATTAAGTCACTAGCCTCCCACCATAAACTTACTTTTTCTTCTGTTTTTCTGTCTCTTCTCTTTTTTTTGTCTCTGTGAAAGGCACCATATGTCTAGTCATTCCAGCCAGAAAACCAGATTGTTTTCTTAGGTTCTCTGGTTCCTTCTGTTTTCACATCCAACCACATCAAGGCCTATTAAGTCTACCTCTTATAGACCCATGGTGTGCATAATACCTTTCTCCTCCCACACTTTAACATCCTTAATTTAGAATAAACAATTTCTGTTTCTCTATTTCAAGGTCCCTGAAGTCAGGGATCATGACCAGGGGTCTTTTTCTCTATATATCAGAGCAAAGCACAGTCATGTTAAACACATAAATAACTATTGAAGATTAAAATTTTGGGGTAAAATACACATACACACTTGCATACACACACATATCCCTACAAAGAAATGATTATGTCTTGTGTACCATTGCATACCCTGCACTCAGTGTGGCACCCATCTGCCTGGCACATAGTAGGTGCATAAAAACATTTATTGAATGACTGAATGAGGGACTGAATAAATGAGTAAATTCTTTTTTAAATGAGTAAGTTATTTAATGACTGGGAGAATGCTATAAACATTATCCGACTGAAGATTTGCTGGGGATCAAGTTTTGCCAGGCCTGGACTACATAAGAGGCAAATATAGCTTTTGCAGCAAGAAAAACAAAAGTCTCTTAAAAGGAGAGAGAAGGAAAAAAATCTGGAATTTTCCCAGAGATTCTTGGGGTGGTTGAGCCTTTCAGGAGGGGAGGAAGGGGGAAGGAGAATCTGGGACTGTCTGCTTTGAAAAATTTGCCTGGAGGCTTACATCCTGGGAATGCTCATATCTTATTTCTTTTTTTATTTTTTTAAGATTTTATTTATTTATTTGACAGAGAAAGACACAGCAAAAAAGGGAATACAGGCAGGGGGAGTGGGAGAGGGAGAAGCAGGCTTCCTGTGGAGCAGGGAGCCCGATGCAGGCTCCATCCCAGGACCCTGGGATCATGACCTAAGCCAAAGGCAGATGCTTAATGACTGAGCCACCCAGGTGCCCTGCTCATATCTTATTTCTGCTGAAAGTTAATATTTCAGTCTGAACCTCTGTTTCATTTCAGGTGGTCTCTCGGCCTTTAAGTCAGGAATCGATGCCATTGTCACCCCAACGGACATAGACAAAGACTTGGTCAATGATCTTCTCGCCCGAGCTAAATTCTATAGAAGACATGGCTTCTAGGCAAAGCTCTGTGGGTGGGCCATGTTGGCAGGTGTTCAGATGGCCCCTCTTTGAGAGTTTGATATGGATGTGTTGTACTCAACACAAAGAAATGGTTGCAATTATGACAGAAAATTCAGTTTCTTAATGCAAATAAGCATCCAAAAAAAGAAAAGAAAGAAAGAAAAAGAAAAGGAAACCCACCCAGTTCATAATATGATTCCCATAAAATGTTCACAGACATATATGCACAATTATTTTGTAGTACATGTGAATATCATGGTAAGTGACATCTATATATATTTCAGTGAGGCCCTATTTCATTCCATGATTTCAATGCCTGCTGACCCCTGTTTTACCAGAATTGTTAACAAGAGAGCCTGGCCTGAGCCTTTGTCCTTTTCCAAGTATTTGTCCAAGCCACTAGGGCTTTGATTGTGAGATATCCTTAACTCATAAGCCAGTCAACCTGTGGGATGATGGAGAAACTAGGGATGGAATTCTAGCTTCACAAGTAACTGAGAGTTGACTGTGGTGAAGCTGATCTTCTGAAAGTACTATATGCCATGTCCCTGGCTCACACCAACCTTCTGTGTCTTCTTCCTCTTGTTTGCTGAAGATCCAAGGACTGGCTTCTTCTATTTTCAGGAATTTCTGCCACATACTTGTTCAAGAAGTCCACTCCCCACAAAACGTGACTGAAGATAAGCATATAGGACCTGAATGAGTTATGGTTCTTTAACTGCAAGCAAAAGTAACCAATTCTGGAAAATTTAAGGAATAAAAGGCAGTTATAATAGAAGGCTATCAAAAGACTCATAGAAACAACAAGGTCAAGGACATGAAGAGAAACCAAGAGACTCTGTGCAGCAGGAACCAATTGACCATACTTGATAGCATCCTCACTGCATGAATGTATTAGCTCTCTCCTTGCATAAATGTACTCCAGAGACTTTTTCTTCCATCCTTTCATCATTCTGATTCACTCTGATAGTTTCAGGAGAGAGACTCTGATGAGCTTATCTTGGGTCATATACATACCTACGCCTTGGCTACTCTCCTCTTTGGTCTTGTCCAGACTACCCACAATGGAAAAGAGTTCTCTAGAATGAAAAACCTGGTGCTGTTTGTGGCTTTACTACCATCCTCAGGAGAGGACACAAATAATAATGCTGGAGCATAAAACCCTCAAAGTCCCTGCTGACATGGCTCCTGCTTGGCTTTTAGCTTTTGGGGGGAATATTTGATAAAAGTTTCCCCATTACTTTTCTTTCTGAGAAGGAATCAAAATTAAACCCACCTACCTCTGAGTGCCCCCGGAGAAAGCCGGGTAAACCTTCTCTGCCCAACATCTTAACCTAGCCTGAAGATTTGACTCAGGCAGAACTGGGACCCTGTGTTTCACTGGGCAGAGTCAATGGTCAGCTAGTATGGTAGCCCTGCAGAATACAGTCCAGCATCTCTTATAATTGGTTGAGGACCATACTGTACCAGTTGTTAAATATTTTGACATCCACCCTGCTTGTGGGCAATCCAGAATGTTCACTTTACTTAAGAATGGTTTCTTCTGGGCTTTCCCCCACAAGCATGTACTCCACCTAATTGCCAGCCCCTTCAATGTCACTACTAAAGCAATAAAGCACTACTAAATTATAAAGATAATTTCCAAGTAAAACTTGAAAAACAAGAAATAGTATGCTGACTTAGACTCTGAATTGATTCCCCCAGTATTCTCTTTATGACTTGGATACCAAGAGATGTTCTATAGGAGAGTCCATATTTAAGATGTTTTAGTTTGATTCCCACAGAAACAGACCCTGAGACAAGGAGTCAGGTCCAGGTAGCTTATTTGAGATGTGCAGGGACTTGGTGATACGGGGAAGGGAAGAAAGCCAGCAAAATGTGTGTCATCCAACCGGCTACTGTGGTGGGGGCACTGAGCTCAATCATCCAAGCAAACATCAAGAAATGGTACAAAACACACAGTTCAGAATTATTCTACCCAGGGGATAAGGAGCTGGGGTATTTATACATCTACTTTTAAGAGCCATTGATTGAGGGATCTCCCTTTTGGGGGCTAGGGGAGGGCGTGTCACTTCTGTGCGCCTCTGCTCTATCATGCAAATAGGCAGCACACTTTTCTGCAGTTCCAAGGAAAAGAGATTGTAAGCACAGAAATGCAGATACTGGCAGCTGGAAATCACCTGAGAATCCTGGATCTGCTTCACAGAGGTTAGATATAGCTGGAGGCTGGGGATACCTTCCACCACTACTTGCTTTCCTCTGTGACCTAACAACATAGTAAGAACAATATGGAAATAAACACAAGCTTCATGATGCCTCATGATTTCCATGCCAAGCTTTTCCATAATCTATTAGAATTACTAATTAAATATGATAGAACTGCCTCCTTCTATTTTTCCAGTTGATACTGAGAACAATATTCAAGATGTTAGACTCAAATGTGGCTCCATTAAATATTCTTCCAGTCATCCTCAGTTTTCTTTATATTTTTTTTGCCTGTGTCCTCTTCAGGGATAATGAATGGCTCTATGTTTGCATCCTAGTGTGTACAATGTCACTTCTTTTTGTTGTCTAAAAACTAAGCTCTCTCTGGAAAATGAAGAAAGACTATCTTATAAATAGTTCTGAAAGCAACAACAACAAAAAAATTATCAACCTTCCTCTATCCCAACCTGGCAATCAACCTCACAGGATTTTAAGCATCAGTGCTGAGAACATTATTAGAGGTCACAGATATGGAAGCACTTCCTTCCCTTACTTCCTCTGCATTATGCTAAAGGAACATATATGACTAATGGCCCTAATAAGACCAACCTTGGGTATTGTGGAGACTGAAGGAAAAAGTATTTGAGAAATTACTAAGCAACCACTGGTGGTGTTGTGGTGGCAGCATCCGCAGAATGAGAGGCTTTGCAAGCGTGAGGGGGTAGGGGTCAATGAGGACATAGGATTCCTGGGAAAGAGGGAGCTCTGAAAGTTAAAAGACTCTAAAGGTAAAGTGACTGCAATCCTCTTCCTTGCCAGCCCCATTGGGTGTAGCCTGTGAGGCAGCCGTTAGTTTGTCTGCCTGGTGAGTACAAACGGGAGTGGAGTTATCTCTTGGTTACTTCTTTTTAGTTGCCATCTTGATGTTTATTTGTATTGAATTTAAAATCCACTCTTTATTTTTTGAAGATTTATTTATTTTAGAAAGAGAGCATGCATGCACACAAGTGGGAGGGGCAGAGGGAGAGGGAGAGCAAATCTCAAGCAGACTCACGCTGAGTGTGGAGCCCAACCCGGGGCTCAATGTCACAAACCCAGAGATCACAACCTGAAGCAAAACCGAGAGTCAGACACTTAACCAACTGCACCACCCAGGCACCCCTAAAATCCCCTCTTTAAAAAAAAGCCTTTTTAAATTGTGAAACAATACACATACGTAAGAGTTTGTGTAATAACAAAACCGTTTAGCAAAATAAACTATTAAAAAAAGACTAGTGACAGTATCAAAAAAGACTAGCCACAGAAGAGAGGACATTTCAACAAATAAGTAAATATTTTATTATAGTCTAATGAATCAATCTATTCTCTTTTTTGGGGGGACCCAAAGTGATATTTTAATTGGTTTTTATAAAGTTTTTTAATGATGTTTCATTAATATTTTATTCCAAGTCTCATGAAGAAAAAAAACCCACTGGATATTCAAACCCTATAATTCATATTGTTAAATTACGCATTTATTGTCCTGCTTAAATTTTTTTCCTGGCTTTTTTTTCATTTTTTCAATTTTAGTAAAATACATAACACAAAATTTACCATTGTAACCATTTTTAAGTGTACAGTTCAGTGGCATTAAATACATTCATAATGTTGTGCAATCATTACCACCATCCATTTCCATAACTCACGTCATCTTATAAAATCTATACTGTATAGTTATACTAATGATAAACCATAACCCCCAACCTGCCCAGCCCCTGGCAATTACCATTATGCTTTCTGTCTCCATGATTTTAACTATTCTAAGTACCTTATATAAATATTACCTTATTCTTAATAACTCTCATGCCCCATTTAAGGAATATTTTCCATCATCAGATTGTGAAAATATTCTCCTATGTTACTTCTAAATGCCTTACTGTTTTGTATTTCACATGTGGGTTTATAAAACACTGGATTTTGGTGTGATTTAGAGATCCAATTTAAATGTTTTTCTGTGTGGATACCTAAAATTGTCTCAAAAACACTTACTGAAAAGATCATCTTTCCCTCACTGCCCTGCACTACCATCTCTACTTCTGATCTCTCTCTTCTGCTCATCATTTACTTATTTCTACCAAGAATAAACTATCTGAGTTAGTACAGCTTTACTGTGAGTCTTGATTCCTGGTAAAGCAAGTCCTCCAACCTTGTTTTTCTCCTTGCATTTTTATACAAATTTTACAATTAGCCTGTCAAGTTCCACAAATATAACTGTTAGGATTTTTTTAATTAAAAAAATTTAGTTTTTAGAGAAGTTTGAGATTCACAAAAAAACTGAGCAGAAAAAGTACCAGAGTTTCCATATACTCCCCATCCCCACACATACACAGCCTCCTCCAGTATCAATATCCAACAACACAGTGGTATATTTGTTATAATCAATGAACCTACATTGACACATCATTATCATCTGAAGTCCATAATTTATATTAGGGTTCATTCTTGGTGTTGTACATTTTATGGGTTTTGACAAATGTATAAGGACATGTGTTCATCATTAGAGTATCATACAAAATAGTTTCATACAAAATGAAGAGTATCATACAAAATAGTTTCACCGCCCTAAAACTCCTCTTCATCCACCCCGTCCTCCCCCAGCCTTTACTGTTTCAATAGTTTTGCCTTTTCCGGAATGTCTTAGAATCATACAGTGTGTAGTCTTTTCAGATTGGCTTCTTTCACTTAGTAATATATATTTAAGTTTCCTCCATATCTGTTCAAGGCTGTATAGCTCATTTCTTTTTAGCACTGAATAATACTGCATTATCTAAATGTACCACAATTTATTTTTCAATTACCTGCCGAAGATATCTTGTTGGCTCCCAATTTTTGGCAATTATGAATAAAGCTGCTATAAACATCTGTGTGCAGGTTTTTGTGTGGGCATAGTTTTCAATTCATTTGGATAAATACCAGGAACATGATTGCTGGATCACATGGA